TGTGGTCCCAGCTACTTGGGAGGCAGAGACAGGAGAATCACTTAAACCCAGGAGTTGGAGGTTGCTGCGAGCTGTGATGCCATGGCACTCTGCCCAGGGTGACAGCTTGAGGCTCTGTCTCGAAAAAAAAAAAAAAAAGTATTTTCCAAAGTTTTCTAAAGTGCAGAGGCATTTGTTTGATCATTAAAAGCCAGTTGCCTTTTAAAATGAGGGGATGGAACTTGATGGTATCTAAGACCCTGCCCTGCTTTCGCATCAATAGTTGGATATTCTCCAACTAGGAATTTTGCTGCCCACCAGGGGAAGCAGCCCAGCCTCACAGCAAAGCATGTCCCTGCTGGAGCAAAGCCTGTTCCCACTGCTGGGCACAGTCACTAGGAAACAGGCACCAAGATGAAGGTATGTGGGGGTAGTGGGTCCTCACAGCAGGCAGCCAGGCAGGCAAACTACCTTTGCCCCCATTCATCCTGAGTTTCTCAGAGAAAATAAATTCTTTCAGTTCCTGTTTATTTCAAATTTAAGCATTTGTTACTTGCACTGAACATAACCTTTTGATTGGTTTGGAGTGGTCTTTCATTTTATTCACAATCACATTAATTACCAAGGACATAGTTTCAACATTTTGTTCCAACTGTGTTTTCTATTCCTTTCAGACAATTTACAGGCTATGTGATTGAGATAATTATTGACCCTGCTGAGTGACTCTGTCTATGCATTACACAGACTCAGAATTGTGGCTGTGACGTCAGATGTCTGTCAGCTGATGCTTTTGGGTTGGCGGTGGGACTTGTGGTCACACTATCCCCATGTCAGTTGCCTGCAGTGGGCAACAGAAATAGGTCCCAGGGATATGAGGAATTGAGTGTGCATACCCCAGGTTAACCAACATGTGGGTCTTATTTATTTTAGGGATATTTTGCTGCCCATATATAGTCTATCTTCTGGTTGTTTTATTTGCTTAATGGTCAGCTTCTTTTTTTGGTGGGGGGGACAACGTCTCACTCTGTTACTCTGAGGTTGAGTGCTATGGCATCATCATAACCCAAAGCAACTTCAAACTCTTGGGCAAAAGCAATCCTCCTGCCTCAGCTACGCAAGTAGCTGGGTCTACAGGCTCCCACCGCCACACTCAGTTTTTCTATTTTTTCTCATTTTTTTCTATTTTAGTAAAGATGGGTTCTCACTCTAGCTCAAATGGGTCTCAAACTCCTGAGCTCAAGCAATCCATCCACCTGACCCCCAGAGTGCTAAGATTACGGGCGTGAGCCACCACACCTGGCCATATGGGTCATCTTGATGAGATAAATCAGCAACCTTAAAAACATGTGAATATTCAGAATGGGCTATGATGTTAGCTGAGGCTATGAGGTTTTTTGTATATGACCTTTATCAGATTGAGGAAGTTTCCTTCTATTCCTATTACTATATTATTGTTTTCTATTTTCTATTTCTAGATAACAATAGAAACAGTTCCTCTATTCTTCCTTTCCTGCCTCTTTTTTTTCTTTTTAAGAATTCCGGCTTGGCACCTGTGGTTCAAGCGGCTAAGGCGCCAGCCACATACACCTGAGCTGGTGGGTTGGAATCTAGCCCCAGGCCCTCCAAACAACTATGATGGCTGCAACCAAAAAATAGCCGGGTGTTG